AGCACGGTTTCGTGAAAGACTGCTCATGCATCACAAACGTGCTTGTGATGACGCACGAGCGATTGCAGAGAGTGAACCAGAGGAAGGCCGTCAACGTGATCTACATTGATCTTAGCAAAGCGTTCGATAAAGTGGATCCCGAGTTCATCCTGCGCAGGTTGAAGATGTGTATTGTTGATGACTCATCGCACCGGTGGATTAGCGATTATCTCATTGGACGAAAGTGGAGTTTATAGGTATTTGACCAAGATATAAGTAGTAATAGGACCCATTTTGTTACTGATCTACATTAGTAATGTACCTCAGCTTCTACGGTCACCGTGTGCCTTATTTGCAGAGAGTAATCGATGCTCCCGACAGCTAAGCGGTACTTTAGTAAGATACCGACCGCAACTCCACGTAGTTTGCGGAGATCAGTCTGCCATTCGAACCAAACGAAGTTATTTATGAAACTAGGGAAGAGTGGTGATGGGCGAATACATGCTCAGGCCGGCCAATCGCTGTATCCTACATGCAAGCTGACACTGCGAGTTCAAGTCCGTGGACAATACGAACAGGCTACATTGAAACGGATCGCGCATGTTTTGGATGCAAAAACGCGACAACTGCAGTTGGTTTGACGAAGTCACCACTAGCCACTACTCCTTCATCCTAAGACCTATATATATATATATATATATATATATATATATATATATATATATATATATATATATATATTGTACAATCTGTTGTACAGTTATAGTGCCATCAAGATCATGGCTGAATAGGAAAACAGTATGAATAATAAGAGAAGAGCAACAACAACAAAAGCATTTTTGCCTAGTTTGCCACTCACCATTTTGAATTTTTTCAGTTTGTTTTTTAGGGGGAGGAAGTAGGGACACCGCAACACACCGATGCAAACGTCCGCCACTGACATCGATCTTGAGCCATGGCTTCCAAGGTCTCCAACCAACAAGTATCCGCATCTCTCGGACCCCAACCAGGTAACCGACAACAACCGGCCGAGGCCAACTGTTTCGTCAGTTTTTTCATGCGGTTTCTCTAAGTTGTAGATTGTCCACCAGACGGTCTCTTCTAGCCCAGTCCAGCAAAAGCAAACAACGCACGACAAGGGTAACGCTGGGCAGGCATGCGCAATACGTGTCCCAGCCACCGCAGTTGATGCAGTGAGACGAGCTCCTCCAGCGAGTGGATTCCACGTCCCAAGACACACTGTCTGACTTCCACAGTGCTTACGTGGTGTCGCTACTACACAATGGCAATGGATTGCAGACAGCGATGCTCGAAGATGGACAGCATGCACAGGTCACCTTTACGAATGAGCCAGGTCTCGCATCCGTACAACAGTACAACACGAACAGTTGCACAACAGACCCGCCCTTTGATGGAGAGACGAATGTCCTGGCGACGCCAGCAGTGCCTCAGCCTGAAAAAAAGCGAGGCGTGCTCATGAGATGCGCAACGAAATCTCCTCGCCAACAGCCCCGCCAGCAGTAATGCAACTTCCCAAGTAGACAAAGCTCTGTACAACCTCCAGCTTTTCACCACCAAGAGTGAGTGCAGGCACAGGCACCTGCCCGTCTTGAAAGAGAGTCTTGCATTTGGATGGAGTAAGTACATACCATACTTTGGTGTTTTAATCGTCCAGCGGTTTAGTGCAAGTTGGACGACATGTGGATCGTCACCCAGCAAGATGATATCATCAGCATAATCCAAATAAAAAACTCGAATACTTGGAAGGAGCTCAACGCCAGCGTTCAAGGTATCGCCCAGAGCGTTCTTTAGGATATCCTCAATGGCAAAGTTGAATAGGAAGGAGAAAAATTGCCATAAGCCCTAACCCTGCCCGAGGTCAGACTATAGAGAGTGCGCAGTATGGAGACGAACTTCTCGGGGACACCATTCCTCAGTAGGCAGTGCCACAGTACCGTCCGATCGACAGAATCGAAGGCTGCACGGATATCCAAGAACACAGAAATCGTTGGCCTCTGATACACATGGCGGAGCTCGAGGATCTGGCGGAGTGTGAAGATTTGATCGATGCAGCTGCGACCAAGGTGAGATTCAGCTTATTCTTCTCGCTGCAACGATTCGCGCGTTGGGGATAGCCTGCGAAGTATGATGGACACCAGCAGCTTGCAAACGACGGGGACTAAGCTTATGCCTCTGTAGTTGGAGCAGATTGTGCGCAGGTCTCTTTTTGAAGATAACGACGACTATCAATTCACCCCAAGATGAAGGAACTTTCTCTTTCGACCAAAGTTTCGAGAACAAAGCGATGAGTTCTCGAAACAGCGAAGCGCCATCACTTTTAAATAGAGCTGGAGGAAGACCATCAGGACCGAGGGCTTTATAACGCTTCATGCGACGGAGCTCCTGCTCGATTTCCTGGTAAGAGAAGGATCTGTGGGGTTAGACCACTCGGCACCAGTGCGAGCGCCAGAGGTAGTAGATAGAGCTGGGGACAAAAACTGCGAGGCAAAATGTTCGGCCTATCGCATATTGTTTCATATGTACCAGATCGAACACCTTCGGGGACTCGAATGAGATGGAAAAGTTTTCTGGTATTACCAGAGAGACTAGCAAGTTCCATCTCCCTAACACGTTCACACCACCAAACTTCGCGGTCCATTTGCAGACTCCTGCGCAACTCTCGACCAAGGGATTGGTGTTCTTCACTGTGGCTGGAACCCGACGGGATCAAGCAGCGTTTGTCCATAAGCAGCAATGAGACGGCGGAAATTCAATGCTTCGGTAGGTGACGGCAACTCCACAAGTGTCGATAATGGCGGAAACTAAGGTATCTTTGATCTGCGCCCATTGCGAATCGAGGTCACCGACAATAGTTGAGCCAAGCAATGTTGACAGTGAGCCTTGGCAACTAGTTAAAATCGCAGGGTTTTGTATATTTGCGACGTCCGGTCGGTAGTGAGCGCGCTTAGGTGATCCTTCGAAATGCACGCAGATCTTAGCACGAAGTAACGCGTGATCGGAGTCTAGATAAATTGACCAGTATGATCGGCAATCCGCTACGCTTCCGCACCAACTGTAGCTGATTGCTATGTGATCAAGCACTCTTGCATTTGTGAGAGCGGGCGCCAGGCAGCAGTGCGTCTCCTCGAGTGTCGAAAACTAATGCTCGAACGAAACAAGCGATGATCAGAGCAAAGAGCAAGCAGTCTGTCTCCATTGTCTGATCGACTGACACCGAGGCCAAAACTACCTCCAAGGTGGTGCTCGCTTGGTGGAAGGCGGTTCACCTGTGCGTTAAAGTCTCCGGCAAGAATGACTATATCAGTTCCTTTGGAGTAGCGCAGAAGTTCATGTAGCTGCTGGTAAAAGCCATCCTTGACTGCATCCGAGCTGCAGTCCGTAAAGGCGTAGCCGGAGACGACAAACAAGTCACGCTTAACGTCTCGACGCCTGCTTACATTGTATGAATCTCTTAATCGGACTGCGCATTGCCGACTGTTGACTAGGATCCAGTCAAACAGAGCTGATTCAGCCCTGGCACTCAGTGCAACCCCAATACTATCTTGGCCAGTGGCGGCAGCTTCTGGGTCTCCGGGAAGCCGCAAGTAGCATTTGGCGTTATGGTTCACCAGAGAGATCATTCTGATGACGGCACTAGAGTTTTGCAATCTGGTCTCTGAAAGGCAACAGATGTCTATCGAGAGCGATTCAAGAATACGGGCCAGACATGCTTGTCGTCCAATCCGCATAAAAGTTCGAACATTAAACCTTGCGAGGATGAATGGAGAACATGGTCGAAGAAGAGCTGGAGGTTTGGTGGAGTGAGAGACGGTTGCAATCGCAGGACATGGAAAACCGGGAGTTTGGCTGTTGCTTCCACCACGTGCGAGAAGTGGGTCTTTTGTGATGGTGACCGAAGAAGACATAAGAGTACATATAGGTGAAGGACGAGAGACGGGGTGATCTGTGAGTGGAGGTTGAGGAGTTGAGTTGGCAGATATGATTGGCATAGCAAGAGCAGTAGAAGCAGTGCGGTCCTGAGACCAGTGCTGAAGCACAACTCGCACGCCCATTGTCCGATCACCAGCATTGAGGTGTAATAACTTGAACGTGTTCAGGACGTACCTATCAGCTTATCTATCGTTTACAGTGTACGTCGCATGAAGGCCGATCATGGCTTTAAACCTCGTTGTATCGTCGATCTCTAGTTGACCGTATAATGACCCATCGGAGATAATAGCTCAGTGACTTCCCTATACGAATGACTCCGAGCAGTACACATGAACACCGGTAAAATATCGTAGTGCAGGATCTGAAGCGAATATCTCATTCTCTATTGATTTGAGCAGCGAGTGGTGAGATATTGGAACAGCTTACTAGAGATAATATGTAAGGCAAAATCAGTGTCGGAATTTAAGAAATTTCTGTACACCCACTTTGCGGATTGTAGATTTAGAGAAGGTAACGCACGTGGTAGGACATTGTACAGCTGCAATATGTGTGAATGCGCAGGAATTAATGACATTATTCCGCGTCTGTCCGATCAAATTTCAAATGGGGCAAAACAGGATAATATATTTTCCCACTCTCTAGTTACAGTATTTAGTTATGGATGCTGTTAAGAGGTACAAGGTGCTGCGCAAACGGAGTAAGGTAGGTTGGCAAAAATGCCAGATGGGAAGATCATTCGTAGATCACCATGGAAAGAGACCATAGAAACACGATGAAGGAAACAAACATGGAAAGGGAGCATGTTTACCACTCAGTCCAAGGAAGATAGATGAGGTGATGAACCTGGTAAGGACAATAGAAAGTGAATAAAACTGTATGACGGTGACATGCAAACGGAGAATATGTTAACCCAGGGAGATCGTTCTGCGTGTTAATCATTGGGTATACTGCAAGTAATGTATTCTGGTGCAGCTTATAAAAATATGATGTGAAAGAGCCAAATGAATTGAACTAAGAGTTAATCCAGAGTGGCAGCGTCATACAAAACTGAAAGCGGGAAAAGGGCTCACTTTTGCACATTGAAAAGACTCAATCAAAGTAAGGCCGTCAGCATTGGTGGTTGTAAATTGCAGAAGTTGTTCATCAGAAGATAAATGGGCATCAATCAGGTTTGAATGAGTCCAGTGGTTAACAATGGAGTCGTTCATATCGCGTAGAAGGATAAAGTGCTCATAAATCTATAAGAAACGGAAAGTAATAGCAGCTTGAGAAAAAGGAGTGGAACAAAGAAAATTTAGAAAAAAGAAAATTAGGAAAATCGCGATGGAATGGCTTAATTCGTTCAGCCTTGTGACATAATACTTTCCCACCTGAGTTTACGGAAAAATTGGGTACCTCAACCTCCAGTGCAGGGAAATGTTTGTTGGAAACATGCTAAAGGAGGAAAAGGCGATGGCAATTGAAATACGCATTGCCATCATCGCAACATACACGGGTAAATCCGCACAAGTGGAACTCATGGGATAAGAAGCTTCGCCGGTTCGACTTCAGGTCAACGAAAGATCCACGAAAAGGCTCTGCAGTGAACTGATACCAGCAGAGCCAAAGGCGAGGACCGCCTATTAAAGCATTGTGCACCTTCGGAGTGAGAAGTGATGTACAGGGTTGTTGGCACTCAGCGCATAGACATACCGTTTCGCTAAGGCCGCACAGCATAACCAATTGTGTTTGTATATGCATGCAAGATGCCTCAAACAAATGGACGTGGGAAAAACGGCCTAATAAAAGCTGAGTGACCTTGGGGAAATAAGTATAGTAACCTAGTAGCCATCGTCGCATAACGCAACCTGTGAGCCGCCCCAAATTACTTTTCTTGGTAACCGGTTAGTTAATTAGATTTCTTTTCAAATCAAACGAAAACCTTGTTTTCGGCACACGCAAAGACAACCGACCGTTCTACGTATGAAAGGAAAGAGTTTCTCTATAGTGGTGTGGGTGAGTAAGTTACTGCATATGACCATTAGGTGAACCCTGGGTAAAGCGGCCGGTACTTGTAATGAAAACATGGCCTAGTGAAAACGCTCTTCTACAGAGCCAGACGGATTTGCAGCCCCGAAAATGTTGCAAGCTGAAGAGGAAATTCTGTACAGAACCTTGGTGTCGAATGAGTATCCTGAGAAGTTCATTCAGACCCACAGCAGGCCATCCAAGAAGAAAATACCAGTACTAACTGCAGAAAAGAAGTATGTTTAAATAAACATACCGTTCAAAGGGGACTATGTAGCAAATGATATTGGACACAAGTCCCGGTCCGCCCTCATAACCGTCAGAGTAGCTCATTAGTCAGTTCAGCCTCTTACGTCATTTATCAGTTCAGTTGCAGTTGCGGTGATATTTACATAGGCAGGACTGACCGTCAGTTAGCTCAGAAGGTAGCCGAACATTTGCCAAAGTGGTCGGGACAAGTGATGATGCAACAAAACGGAGCGGATCCGAGGATGAACCGGAGCTCAACATCATCTAGCAACATTCACCTCTTGGTAACTCGGCATCATGTGAACCCGGAGACTGCGTTCAGGGTGTTATGGCGCAACAACAATCCGATAATGTTGGCACTTAGTGAGGCGTTGATAATTAGGGACTACCGAAATGTGTTGTGTGCACAGAAACTATGGAAACAATCAATTAGGTTACCGTTGTCTTGATTAGGACATTTTGATTAGTATTGCTAATTTTCCCATGTATATAACTGTACATGCATTCCGATTGTATTGTGGTTGAGGCAGATGAGAAAAATCGAAATGTTGACATAGCGCAACTTATATCTTCTCACTGCTATGGTCAAAAGAATATTGTCGATAAATCGGCACGTTGTGAAAAAACAAGGAGGAAAACGGACTGTTAGTTAAGACGTGATTACAGAGCACAAAGGTAGCTGATATAAGCCAAATAAACACTCGGTGCTAATAGCCACAGGAAAAAGCGTATATGCCCAGGTTGGCGAGGTCATCGAGTGAACACTAATCTATTTAAAGGGTCTCATAAGAAGCTAGTGATGAGTTATCACTCACAATAATCTATAATCATGTCTGGCGAAATGCATGCAATGTGGTCGAACAAAACGTATCGTCACAACCTCTAGAAGCAAAGGCACCTATAATTGAATGAGTATGGTGCATTACCACATAAGGGTGCTACTTTCACACCGTCTACCACTATCATCATAGACGGATAGGTTTTAAATCTGACACCGGTGGTTTATTCCAGACAAGGTTCAGTGGTGGCGGACAGGTAACGCGACAAGAAAACAAAGAGCAGAGTGCATTGAATGACCGATTAATGTCGAGTAGCAGGCACTGTTAGTTTAGTGTTTTCAATAAACGAAGTACAGTGACTGATCGTCTCAATTCATCATCAATATAAATACATATTAGCTGGGGGTGAGAAATACACCTCAGCTAATGTGCCGCAAAACGAGACAAGAGACTAAAAAATACAATACTTAAAATTCAAAAAATAAGTAGGTTAATGTTGAATGTCATATTATGCATTTTGTATGAGATTGGAATAGGAGGGTGGATCTAAGAGAGAAGGGGATGGACAAAGAAACTCACAGCACAAACGCCATTGGGGTCAGCTCTTCGTCATATCAGCAAATGTGTCCAATCAAACGTGTTCATCCTCCTTCGGACGCCAGCCAGGCAGTCGGAATGCACCAACCGAAGCCAACTTCGAAGTGAGGGTTTTCATTTCTATCCCCCAAGTCGCTTGATTTCCCCTCCTCCACTTCCAACCACATCTCCGGCGCGCAAACAATACACGTCGCGGGAGTCGGTGTGTTGGTATGCGCAACACGTAGCCCAGCCATCGGAGCCTGATGCGTGAAATAATAGTGCTGAGCGGTTCACTTGCTATTCCTGCACCAAATACGCGACACCGAAAACGCCCATTATAAACTCAGCCTTTCAGGACGAAAATGATGTCGCGTCTGCGCCACAGGTGGCAGAGATTGGTAAAAGCATCTCCAGCTTTTGCTATACGGTTGGTAACCTCATCTTCGATCTTACGGGCGCTAGTACATTTGCCAAAGTACTTGAATTTCTGAAGGACTTCAAGCTGATCCCTACCAACAGTCAGCGTAGGAGTGCGTCCCTGTCAATCTTGGAGGACTTGGAATTTCGATTGAGCAAAGCATAGCCCAAAACGATTGACACCCAGTACTAATCGGTCCAGTTCTGCATGGTAAGTTTAGGAGCTGTCAAAGATTAGGGTAATATCGAACGCATACACCAAGTCAAGAAGTCGCTCCACACCTTGTAGGTCGTGCCCAAGGAACGCTGTTTCCATGACTTCGCCAATGGCGAAGATAAAGAGGAAAAATGACAGCGGCTAACCTTGTCTCACACCGCTGGAGATACTAAGGGCGGCGACAGTTTCTATGAGCCCTCACTCTACCCGAATTATGCGCGTACGACGCTTTGATAATGTTTACCTATTTTTCGGATACACCTTTCCTCAGCAGACAGTCCCAAAAGGCACACCGATACACCGAAGCGAAGGCATCTTTGATGCCGCGAAACACAACAGCAGTGGGTCGCCAACAAACATAGCGGAGCTCCAACAATAGACGGAAAGTTAAGATGTGATCGATGCAGCCTTGACCTCGAGGAAACCCTGCTTGGTGTTCGCGGATCTGGCTTTCACGAGCACCAGTCAGTTTGTGGAGAACGATACACGCAAGCAATTTAAAGGCAATTGAGATCAAAGTGATCTATCTATGATTGCCGCATTCCGAACGGGAGCATGCCTTGAAAACTGGAACTAAAACGGAGCGGCCCCAGTTGGTCAGGATAGTTTCCAGCTCCCACAGTTTCACTAGCAACTCATGTAAATTATCTACAAGAGCAGGTTCCCCGAATTTGAAGAGGACTGAGGAATTCTATCTGGCCTGCGGCTTTGTTCAATTTCAACAGGTTGATCTCACGTTCCTTATGCGTGTGAAGGCGGGTCCAAGGAGACGGCCTAGATAGTAGGGCACGCAATGCTCGAAAAAGAAAGCGATAACTCAGAGTGGTTAAACTACCTTGCAAGGTATTACTTATGAATGAAAGGATTTTGGTGAGTATTTTTGTTCGTCGCAATCAGCCGACAATTCAGATATGTCCGGATAGCTGGTCGACATATCCGAATTGTCGGCTGATTGCGACGAACAAAAATACTATGCAAGGTGTTCGGCCCAACGCTCCAAGCGTTTTGGTAGGCTGTGGATCGTCTGTCCACCCTCTTCGAGGATGGTCTCGCTAACACCAGGTCTCCTGCTGCCTGTTTCCCGTAACAGACCTAACAACTTACCATGAATATCAGCTGCAGCGGCTGTTTCAATTGTTGATGCACGATGAGACTACCACGCTTCGTGATCTCTCTACGCTAGCACGCAGTTTTGCCCTTAAGATTTGCGAGTCTCATTGCATTCGCTTCCAGTCGGAATTTGTAGGCGAGGGTCCATAAGTACAAGAGTCAGAGTAGAGACCCAGTGTTCAGATAAGTAATTTGATTTTCTACATGAAAATATGCTTGCTGATAGCAACTTTTGGCGAATATGCAACCAGTAATCTACAACGGTGTTCTGTGTGCGCTGACTCAGCTCGGATGCCAACGTACTTTGATATGCATTCAGAACATCTAGTTTCGACACTTGATTCGTACCTATGAACTCACAGCGCCATTGCGAACGTCCGCCAAAACGTATCCGCAGGTCGGCACATACCAGTACGTGGTCGGAGTCCACGCTCGTGCTCCACATCGAGCGACAATTTTGGACGCAGCATGCCCAACGGTGAATTGATTTGCGTCTATGACTGGTCCGAAGCTGGTGGGCGCCAAGTCAATCTTCTGAGGTTGATGTCTCGACATTTAGCGTTCGTAAGAAATAGACGAGCATCTTCACACATGTGTAGCAGCCGCTAGCCGTTATCATTACAGGAGCCTATACCATGTTGGCCACCCAGATAAAGTTCGTCAGAGGACAAATTTATGACATAAGCGTTTAAATCACCATCCGTGCTTCTTCTGTAACGAAGAAGATCAGTAAGTTAGTGATAGAAATAATCTTTCCTTGAGTCAGTGCTGCAGTTTTTGGAGGCGTAGGCCGCAATGACAAACAGGCACCGTTTGTCCCCGCGCGACTTCGAAGCCTGGAACGAAGCAGCTAATCTAACGGCGCACGTCTGGTTATTGA